CTCCAGCTTCCTATAATGTTCTTAAAATCATCTGGATCGAGTAATGAAAGGCATCGCTAAAACTTTTATCAAAAACTGACTTCTGATGAATTTTGTAATGGCATAGAACTGAATTACATCAAGAGAGTATTAATAAAACAGTGGCTATCTCAAACACTCGTAGAACAAACAACTCGTCGACAAAAAGAATCAGGTTGACACAAAAAAAAGCCAAAAGCAGTGAATTTATCCTTAAAATTAATGTCCGCCTTGCGTACGCAACCTGAACAAAAAACTATGAACGATAGCTTTACCCCAATGTCTGAAATTTGTGTTTAAGTCTGAACTCACCCTTTGGAGTCAACTGACTTATGTCACAACGAAGGTGACTCCGAAGAACGACGAGTCCATTTTATTTCCTGCAAATGTGGTGACTCTATATCGAAGAAAGAATAAAGAATACACACAAACCTTATGAGATGAAACAACGCAGACTTAAGAGAAAAAGGCAATGCGCAACAAACATGAGGTTGGAGTAGAAGAAGGCGACCTGTTAGTAATGAAACCAGAATGCGAAAATAACTATGATGCTGTGCAACACTGAGTCATCAAAAGGACAATGGTATGGATCTCAACTTAATACCTGGACGCCATCTGTTAATCAAGGCACTAATTCCTGCTCAGCTGGCAAGATTAACGCTTACGATTCCGAATTTCATTTGGACAAATTCATTTTTCCCAAAAATATTTCTATTACTGTGTCTTGAAAATGAGCAGAATATATTTTGCAATGTTTTTCCGTAACTTGCACAATAAAGTCTAAATGCGAAACAATCCCGTAAAAACGCCATGGAATTAACCTCCTGCATAAAAAACCAATGTTCAATTTTCAACGTTTAAAGAAAAATCATGCCCGATCCATCTGGATTACAGTCTCAAATGATGCGAGCTGTAGCTCGAACAAAAATTTACGTTTTCCGCAAAAGCTCAGTAATCTCAGATGTAACTCACGACAGGCACTGTGACAGACTATCACGTAACAAGTGAAGACGGTTACTGAGAATGTAGTTTCCACTGAGGTGGTTCCGTCGGTAAATCGTCAGAGTCAACAGCGATGGATCATGGGTTCAAATCTTGACCAGGGTCAGTCGCCTTTCTTCCTTCTGAGGTTGATAGACGAATGTCTCTTTGGAAAGGAAACAGTAGACTAGACGCTATATTGACCAGAAGGCTATAAACCCCGCCTTTAAAATAAGGTGCTCTTGGCTGATGGCGTAGAAACAGAAATCAACACTGACGGCAAAAACTTCATGAAAATAAGGATGCCAAATTCGCCCAGTATCATGAAAGTGTATGGAAGACCGACAGTCCAACGGTTACAAACTTTTCTGTGTTTTTCTTACGACCTTAAAATTACACACCAAAAACTCAGAAAAAGCTACAACTGTCCCTTAAGTTAAAAGGTTAAGAATATATACAAGAATGAAGTTGACAGACTACCCATGAACCGATCGATCTGGTGATGGTCAACGATATTTGCTCTGATACCGAGACCTTCGCAAACAAAATTTTAGTTGACTCGTTCCAACATCTACTTGACACCGTGGCCAGTTGCAAATCGAAATTGAAGGCAAGCGCACAGATCTGAATCCAATTTACGTTCGTACTGAGGATTTCAAAAGTTCAGTACTTTCTCAACTGATCCGCATTCTGAAGGATTATCATGAATTCGGCGACAGGATACGTACAAAGTTGTTGTAAATAGTTTTCTTATTTTCTTTCGCTTGCTGCATGTACCTGTATCCTTGTCAAGTTCTGAAAGCGCTGAACAATGGATACTTGTTGCTCACTACAGCTATAAACAAAATCAACTATATGATCAGCGAAACAGTATAATTCAAGGAGTAAAGGTAAATATTGAATTACAGTTGCATATATACTCACAATATTTCGCTCCTTCCAACGAAGCCAAACATCGTTCCAAACAGTCCCTAGTTGCATTTCCGGCACGGGAGTAATCGAACCTCTAAAAATTTAAATACTGTAGCCAATGCAATAAATAAATGCACAAAAATATAGTTTATAATAAACACTTGAGCGGAAGAAGCAAGTTTATCGCAACCGCATCATACACAGTAAAAAAAACTCAAATATTAGAAAAGCATAGTTAAAAAAACCAAATATGTATTTCAAAGTGGTTGGCTGGTTGACGTGTCACAATGAAAGCTAAACAAAACATGCAAGGCCGTTTCTTCGAAAACAAGACCGTAGTTATTCGTGTGTCTCAAACGCTACGTTTAATTTAAGCGCACCAGAACAGCATCTGTGTTGACAATGAAAAAGAAAGTTAGTCACTTTTGGAATGTCTGTTTTCTTTACTTTCATGATTAGGTTAATCTGGCGCTTTTCATTTCATCTGGTTGATGGTGCGATGATGATTTCTGTTTCGATGTCATCAGCCAGGAGTGGTTTATTTTTTTAAGGCTGAGTCAACAGCTGTATGACAAGCACAGCATGGAATCTTCTGTTTCCTTCCTACGGAATGGTATAAATTTGTCAACCTCCAGAGGATGAAGGATGATTGACCCCGACCGAGTTATAAACTCAGGATCTATCGGTTCTGAGTTCCACGCTCTACCGACTGGGTATGCCCGGTCTGAAGCAATGTATGGTAAACTCTTTGCTCAAGGGAATTCGTGAATGAGACAAAGATTACCCTCGAGCAGAATCAAGTTCACCATTTCCGGAGTTCGAAGTTCGAAGCAGGTTACTTAGACAACTGAGCCAATACACTACACGAACTTAATTCTAGTTCACAGCTTTTGGCTCTGATGTTCGTCGCCGGCAGATTATATACCGTTAGCGTCATCGCGTAAGAGATTTCAGTTGACCTTTACGTGACCACATCTCGCTGACACTGAACGTGTGTTAGATAAACCGTGAATTCGTGCAGGGTATAGATTTCTTATCACTTCTACGTACAAAACGACCGGCCTTTGTCCAAAATGACCAATGGTCGGTGTGAACGGTGTGTGACGCAGTTGCGAAAAGGTCCAAAATTTATGACATTTGTTAGTGACACGAGGGGTTGTTTCAGAATTGGGAGATATTCTGCGACCCCTTGGTAGAGTGAACACTAAGCTGCGCCTCAGAAGACCTGGGCAAAAAGTTTTAAGACTTTTTCTCGC